TAGTTTTAGTAAGAGTTTTACGGCACTTGCAACACAATAAGGTCATATAAGTGCCGAAGAATAAAGGTGTTACAAGAGAGTAACATGCACAAAAAAGGAGCAGAGATAAGGACGATAGATGTTTGATAGGAAAGAAGAAGCAAACCACACCAGAGCACCCGCCAACCACCCAGGTGGGGTGGGGGGGTCCCGACGTAGATTTAAGGATTGTAATTGTTATACTACCCCTCTTGAAACAGTTTAGATAATTAATTTAAACATGGGAATTATGATAAGAACAAGACAAAACACTGTACCTCAAATATTGGGCGAGACCACGAGCAAGATAATAAATGCTTCAAGCAAACAACAGGCAAGACCGCATATAACATTATGTTAGAGATCCTCTGCTGACGCATACTTTTATATCATGTAGGACTGTGGTCTGCTTTCTAATTCAGCCTGGGGTATGTCCGTGACAGGCAGGGTCGAAGCAACCCGCCTCCTAAATGATATAAATTACGTCAAAGGAGGCGTAAAAACATTTATGGTTACATTTTTTTTCTCAGTTTAACGTTTGTTTAGTTTTTTAGTTTTAGTAGAGGTTTTACGGCGCTCGCAACTGCATAAGGTCGGTCATATGAGCGCCAGAAGATTAGAGGTGTTACAAGAGAGTAACAAACATTAAAAAAAGAAGAAAGGGAGATAAGGACGATAGATGTTTCATAGGAAAGAAGGAGCAAACCATAACAGAACACCCGCCAACCACCCACAACGTTCGTTTATTTGTTCGAGTAAAGAAAAGCACATCGACACAATAACGGTCATTTAGTGCTGGGAAAAAGTACGACAACAATCAGAAACAACACAAGGAAAGTAAAGAAGTCGGACCTAACTGTGGCGGCCTCCAACCACCCGCTCTCAGTTTCAATTTACCAGGGCCTCCTATGTCCAGTAAAAATAGATGGTGTCATCTTTGAGTCTGTGAGTAAAGAAAGCACAGCACGTCTACACACTCAATAATGGTCATTTAAAAGCGCGGGAAAAGACAGAAGGGATGGGTGGGTTTTTTTTGTTTGTTTAAGTTTAATTTGTTGTTGTATTTTTTTATGTTTAAAGACTTTTACGGCACTTGCAACACAGTAAGATCAGGAAAAGAGTCTAAGACAGACGAACAGAATCAACAGAGGGTAGGAAAAGAGTGACGCCTACTTACAACCACAACCACCCTCAAGATCACGTTTTCCGTTGAAAAAGCTAGTGAGGTTGAGAGAAAGAATTAATTGCCTGCAGTGTTTGAACGCTCTGTCAAATCAGAGTGGCCGGATTGTGTAACGTTATCTACCTTTGTCATTGAGATTTATTTTGGGCCTCGGGGCACGCACGCACGCATGCAATGCACACACGCACGCACGCACACACACACACACACACACACACACACACACAC